TGCTATAAGCTCAGCACTCTGGGAGGGCTGAGGAAGGAGGACTGTAAGTTCAAGCCAAGCCTGGGCAACTTAGCAATTTAGGGAAACCCTGTCTCAAAATAAAAACAATTTAAAAAGGGCTGAGGATGTAGCTCAGTACAAACATTCTAGGTTCAATCCCAGGTACTGAAAAAAAAAATCACTCTGCTTGTCTAGCATAGACAAACCTCTGGTTCAGTCCTCAGCATGGCAAAAAGAAACAAAATCCCAAATCACCCAAAAAAGAACCACAAAACAAAAAAATTCTCTCCCTCCCTTATCTTAGCATAAAATATCTGTTATGGCTTATATCTAGACATTCCCCCCCCAAAGCCTTATGCACTCATAGGTGGCACTTTTGGAAGGTAACTAGATCACGGGTATGTGACATTTTATAGCTGGGTATGAAGTTGGGAGATGAAGCCTGGTGGGAAGAGGTGGATTGCTATGGGCAATGGGTTGACATAAATATATATCCCTGCTCCTCCCCTGAGTGCACTCCACTTAATGACTCCTAGGACATGATTCTCCTCTGCAATGCCTCTCTGCCTGCCACCCTGGCTTGGAGCTGCCAACTATGGATTGAAACCGCTACAAACTGTGAGCCAAAATAAACTTCTCTTTTTTGAACTTGTGGATGTCAGGTATTTTGTCCCAGCAACAAGAAAGTAACTGAGACACTCATCTTACGAAAATAGACATAGACATGGATTTTGAATTTTAAATTTTGTTTGTTTTTGTCTTTTGAGGCAGAGTCTCGCTATATATTCCAGGCTAGTCTTAAACTCTCTATGTAGCCCAGGCTAGCCTCAAACTCACAGTGATTTTCCGGCCTCGGCAGGCCCATGTGCACCACCAAGCCTGGAAACAATTTCTGTTCTTGATATCTGATCTTTCAGTCCTACAACCTCCTAAGAAGAGGCTCACTCTCTTTCATGCAAAATATTGAGCTCTTACTACTTGAGGAAGTTGAGAAACTGAACCACACCTTTCAAACCTTCACTACTTTATTACTCCGACTGCATGTCTGTCTACTTGTACAAGCCATATAAAACATGTTAGGGCATGTTCTGGTTAACTCAAGGATCTACTACAGGGCCAGGGATTTAGCTCAGCGGTTTTGCTGCCTGCTACACAAGTGCAAGGACCCGAGTTCGATTCCCGGTACCAAAAAAAAAAAGAAAAAATATAAATAAAAATATAAATAAACAAATAAATAAATAAATAAAGATCTACTATTACAACCTCTTTTTCTCCAAATATTCCCAGAAGCCCTTTACCAGCAATACAGAATAGAAAACTTCATTCAGTATAAAGTCAAAAGTGTAATATTATGAATCTGTTCACATAGACTCTGTTCTTGGCTCTGCTACTCTGAGTCCACTTTTTGTTTCTTTTGAGACAGGAACTAACTTGTTTTGATTTCCTTTCTTTTCTTTTTTTTTTTTTTTTGGTACCAGGGATCGAACTCAGGACTTTGAGTTTGTGAGGCAGGTGGCAGCACCACTGAGCTAAATCCCTGGACTTACAGGAACTAACTTGTGATCCTCCTACCTCTGCCTCCAGGAATGAGGGGATTACAGGCATGGACACCATACCCAGCTTTAAATTTCAGTTTCTCCACGCAGCAAATGGATGTCATAGACTGTCAGTCTTCCAAAGAGGTTCAACAATTACAGTATTTAAAAATTATAATTCCTAAAGATAAATAAGATATCTAATATACATTATATACTTATCAATGACATAACAAATATCTCACATCTTTGCAGAGGAAGTGAGTTTCTTATATACCATCTAGAAAGTAAAGCTATGCAAATTAGTTGATATTCAATAAATATTGTCATTAATGGGCCTCACAAATCTTTATATTTGGTAAAACTAATCTGCCATCCTAGTCCTCTCTTTAAAAAGTCTGAAGCTGGGCATAGTGGCATGCACTTGTATCCCCAGCACTTGGGAGGCTGAGGCAGGAGGATTGCCTCAAGTTCAAGCCCAGCCTGGGGTACATAGTAAGTTTGAGGACAGCCTGAACTACATAGTGAGTTCAAGATCAACCTGGACTGCACAGTGAGACACTGTGTCAAAATAAAATAAAATGAGGCCTGGGGATTTAGCTCAGAGGCACCGCGCCTGCCTCACAAGTGCAAGGTCCTTAGTTTGATCCCTGGTACCACAAAATAAAATAAAATAAAGTGAAAAGAAACATAGCCACTATATAGAACACAACATTTATATACTACTTTTTAAAAATAAGAATTTTGCATTTATCATTTGGAGGTTCTAAATGTTTCAATTAATACCACTACAATTTGAAATAGCACACTTTACCTGATGGCTTTTACCAATACATCTAGAAACTACCTGTGATAGCTATGCAGGTGTAGTAAATGTGATAGCTACATATGATCCCTTAACAGTTTTACCAAAGTCAGGAAGGCTTTGAAGATTGCCTCCTCAAGTCATTCTTATTTCTTCACACACATTTTTATCCTGTGGGAAGAGAATTCTCTTGAAAGTAAGTTTTTTTGTTGTCAAGGATAGCTGAGAGGCAATAGATTCTAAATCTAAATTATCAGGGCCAGGGGTTTGGCTCAGTGGTTCCACCACTTGCAAGGCAGGGTCCTGAGTTTGATCCCCAGTACCAAACAAACAAACAAACAAACACCCAAATCTAAATTATCTTCCAACTACTGTACTGGATTAGGACTAAAGAACAAAAATTTCCGGTACTAAAACAATAAATAAATAAATAACAAAAATTTCCAATATGCTTAAGAAATAAATAAGATAGAGAAGAACACTGACAATATAGACTGTTTTATTTTATTTCTAAAGGAAAATAAATGTACAATTTGTTTTATTTTTGTTTTTTCAGTACTTAGGATTATACTCCAGGGCCTTTTTCTTTTTTTAGACAGGGTCTCACTAAAATGCCCATGTTGGGCTCAAATGTAAAATCCTCCTGCCTCAGTGTTGTTACTTTTCAGTGCTGGTGATTAAATCCTTAGCACATGCTGGGCCAGAGCTCTACTGCTGAGCTATATCCCCAGCCTCAAATAATCTACTCATACACACATTCCCACTATCCTAAAACATATTTTGCTCTAGAAGAGTAAATGTCAGAGGACCCTACTGTATCAAGACACTGCAATCAAAGTGTTTTTCTAGGAGGGCATGTTGGTGCCTTCCTCATCCTCCCCAAAGATCCTTAGATGTTCCTTAGAGGTCATGATGAACAAGGTAGTTAAAAAGAAAAGAAAGAAAAAAACCTTTTCCCAGATACACATAGTATTCTTTTCTTAAATGTGTCTACTGTCTTGAACTGAATCTCCACTGTCCTTCACTACAAAACTATGAACGTCCCTGGCTTTCCCTCTATATCCTCCTTTTCACTCCTGAGCCCTACAAAGGAAATAGGTTTCAACGACAGTGAAATTCTAGAACAGGGTCTAGAATTCACAGTGAAGAAAGACAAACCAATGGACCGCAGGCAAGCTGCTCTTGTTTTCTTTCTTTTTTTTTTTTTTTGGTACCGGGGATCGAACTCGGGTCCTTCCGCTTGCGGGGCAGCTAAATCCCAGGCCCAAGGACCTTGCACTTTCAAGGCAGGTGCTGTGCAACTGAGCTATATCCCCAGCCCTGGCTGTTCTTGTTTTCAATACAAGACAATGCAAGTAAGTACCTGAGGCATGATGGAAAGATGGATTTCTTTAGGGGAGGAAAAAAAGCAAACTTTCTACATAGTGGAAGTAGAAAAGGAAGAATTTTTTAAAATGTAAGGCTGGGTGTGGTGGCAATGCCCATAATCCCAGCACTCAGGAGCCTGAGGCAGGAGAATCACTGCATTCAAGGTCAGCCTGTATCAAAAAACCAAAGACTTTTCCTAGCTTAGTATTTTGCACAAAAAGTGTTTCATTAACTATTAGCACAGGTTTGGAATGACCTGCTTTCATCTTTTGAGCCTGTTTCTTCATCTTTAAAATACTGATACCAATAGCACCTTCACCTCAAAAGGTTATCGTGAGGATTAAATAAGATAGCACACACAAAGCTCACACCACAATGCCCAGCACATAGATTCTGAACTGCACAGTTAAGACCCTGTCTCGAGGATGAGGATGACGACGATGATGACGAAGAAGAAAAAACTAACTTAAAGTAATTCTGAAGGATGTACTACCCTTTCTTTCATTCGGAAATCTAAATCTTCACTTTGCATTTCACTGTACAATGATATGTGTACATTTATCCAATTCATACATTTAACATTTCAACTTAGCAACTTAAAGACTACCTTGGAATACTGGTTTAATTAAAACCAAAGCACCCTATTATGTGTTATCATTATGTATACCTAAAATGTACCAATAAAGGTTGTTATTAAAAAAAGCAACCAGGGACAAAAGTTTTATGCTAAAAAAAAACTTTACAGAACGATATCCAGGAGTAATCATACTAACAAAATGACTGTTATGAAATTTTTCAAAACAGTGCAAATTCAGCTGTGATCACACAGCTATTCTTTCCAAAACTATGTCTCCATTTGCTTTTTTTTCTTGACACTACAGTACCCTGCTTTCATTAAAAGCCTGTAACAAGGCATAGCTTCTTCGATATCAAACCTTTTGGAAAATCTGGCTCAGAGGAAGCCACACACTGTTCACCGGGGTAAAAAGGATTCCCTGTGGTCACTCTAGGACAACTGTCACTGTCACCAGCAGCTCTGGGTGTCTCATAGGGACTTGAGTCATACAGAAGTGTGGGGCAAGGCTCGTGCCTGAAACAAAGTCGGTAGCAAAGGCGCCCTCAAAAGGGGAAAGGGCTGAGAATCGTAGATGGGGGTCCCCGTGCTGCGGGGATTCGCGCTTCTGGGCGGGTCGAGTTCGGGGGCGCAGGCCTCTCCCGCAGGAAAGGGGCGCAGGTGGTACCCTCCCCAGCGGCTCCCACGGCTTTCTTCCCGGCGCCGCCAGCCCCGTTACCTTTCTCGTCCTCGTCGATGCGCAGGGCAACGGAGATGTACTCGAAGGCCTGTTTGTGGAAGGCTCGGACGCGCTCGGCCTCCCCGCCCGGCTCCGGGGCCGGAGGCGAGGCCGAGGCCGGCGCCGGCGCAGCCCGGGAGCTCCTCTTGGCGGCCATGAGGGCGCGGGACAAGCGCTGACAGAGCCACACGAAGAGGAGCCCCAGGTGGAAGGCCGCCAGGCGCAGCAGCGCGAAGCCTGCGAACAGGGGGTAGGAGAAGTAATACAGGTTCCGCTTAGGGGCCGAGGGCGGCGGAGGGGCCGGCCCGGCGACGGGAGGGGCGGGGGCCGGGCAGGGGGGCGGAGGCCTGCGAGGCACCGGGCTGCTGGGGCCGCCGGAGCCTTTCTTCTTCCCTCGTCCACCCGGAGAACTCATTCACAGCTCCCACTGCCGCCGTCGCCATAACCCGCCTCCCTCAGACGACGGCAACCAAGCTACAGCAGCGGCCACTGCGGCAGCGAGGGCCACAGACCCCCCGCGGGGCTCAGGCGCAGGGCACCTGCACACGCCGCCTGCTGGACCCGCCCCCTTCCCCTCCGCCGTTCCGAAGCACAACCCCGTCTGCACAGGTCCGAGGCTCCAGCCCCTCCCGCGCTCTCTGTCCTTTTCCGCTGCCCTCTCACGTAGAGCGGCGGCCGCACACGCGCACGCGCACGTCCTCTCGGGTCTTTCTTCGGCGCGCTCGCGCCCGACGCTGTCTTTGTTGACCTGGACTCCTGTGCGCATGTGCGGAGCCGCCTCTCTGCCCCTCCCCTGGGGATCTGCAGTTCCCTAGGTGCGAGTCAGCTGGCAAAGGTCTTGGACCGCAAGGCTCTTCTTACTTCACGGCCCTTGGGGGCTCGGAGTAGGGAACCTTGCTACTCACACTACGGAAAAGGGAATTGCAGCTTGGAGTGGCTCGGTTAGTTAGCAGGGCTCTTATCTCCCAGTGTCATTGTTACATTTCTTTCATCGTTTTCTGCCAGTTGACCTAAGCCTTAGGTAAATGACGATTGCAAAACGTATCAATCCGGGAATTATTATCTGAGAGGAAAGCAGTCAGAGAGACAAACTTCAGGTATCAAACGAAAAATACTAGCTCAGTGTGATGAGGTCAGCCACACCAGAGGCTTAAGTGGATTAGTAAGCGTTTAGATGTCTGCTTGCGGAATTGTTGGAGTAAGGTAATTATGAAGTAATTATTTTGCACAGTAACCATCCCATAGTTTACTAAGGAATTTGTGCTCTGTGTGTGTGTGTGTGTGTGTGTGTGTGTGTGTGTCTCCAAGTCTCTTTCTTTGGGGGACTACCTTTTGTCCCTGTTCCCTGCATTCTAATGAGCTGCAAGCAAAGAACCCGGGTCACAACGGTGGAAACAAACACTAGGTCAGTCGGACTCTCCTGAGAACTTGGATGGAGGCACACTGAAATAGTAGATACTGTAGTTGGAATTGAGAACGCTCTTAAAGAGTTGCTCGATCAGCTCATCCAATTGAGATCCTTAGATCTGCTGTGTTCCTGGACAAGTCACTTCAATAGTAGCCTGTTCAATAAACTGTTCATAAACTATTTCTTCCCTCTCTCTTTTTCTTTCTCCCTTTCCATCTTTGTGTATCACTTTCTTTAAAAAAAAATTCTTTTTTCGTGCGTTAGCAACAATTGTTTCTTGTTGCCTAAAACTAAGAAACGCTAATACAAAGCCCCCGTTGTTTACAAATGCCTCATAAGATCTTGTAAGAATCTCCACATTCCGCCACAACTTTGTTCTCTACCAATACTTTCCTACAGAGTATCATAGGCTATTGCAAAAATGACTATACTGTGATTCTCTCTAAATGCTGCCTCTGTATGTATCCATTTTCCTCAGTTTGAATACTTTCTTCTGAATCTGACTCATTTTAATTTCCCCATCTCCCTCCAGTATACTTGATTTCTCTTTTGAACCCTGTACCAGTTGTTAAGTGAAATCTGTTTTATTTACACATCATAGAAATAAAATGGATGAAATTTAAATGTGCAATTTAAAGGAAAACAATAAACAGTTTCCAGTTTAATGCATGTAGCCAGTTCTTTAAATTCACTCTGTGAGCCCCTCCCTTAATTCCTTCTCCCCCCCACCCAGGAAGCCACTTCTCTGAATTTTGTATTAATCATTCTTATGCCTTTCATTTTGTTTTAACTTTCTACAAGTTTTCTTAATTTTTAAATCTGTATTTGTTAAATTTACTTTCTTAATTGGTAACACCTCTATGAAAGTGTTTGGCAGCTGCTAATAAAAATGGAATAGAGAGCTCAGCTTCGAGCTCCTGCTGGCTTTGGCTGGAGGGGCAGGGCCCGGGGCCAGGCCTAGACCACGTCTCCCCACTTTCAGGGTGGGTGTGGGTGGGTGTGGGTGGGTGTGGGTGGGTGGGGTGTCAGTGCCTGGGGATCCCATCTGCATCCTTTGCAACATCACTGAGTCGTACCATGCTGTGCCCCCCCATTTCCCTGGTGGAGTCTGATGATCCTAACTTGGACAGGCTGGTGGACCATAAAGAAAGGGAATACTAGGGCCGCAGATTTAGCTCAGTAGAGCCACTGCCTGCCTCACAAGCGCAAGGTCCTGAGTTTGATCTCTGGTCCAAAAAAAAAAAAAGAATACTCTGCTCTTGTAGCACCTGAAGAGGATCATTTCTGACTCGTGTAAACTCTACAACCTCCCTCAGCATCCTGATGTGGAGATGCTGGATCAGCCCTGGCTGGCAGAGCAGTGCACACAGGAGGAAGTGTCTTCAGAAGATGAGGATGAGGATGAAGAGATCCCTGAGGACATAGCAGACCTAGATCACCATGAAATCAAAGAGGAAGAGCCAGCTGAGGGCAAGAAATCTGAAGATGATGGCATTGGAAAAGAAAACTTGACCATTCTTGAGAAAATTAAAAAGAACCAGAGGCAAGATTACTTAAATGGTGCAGTGTCTGGCTCCATGCAGGCCATTGACCACCTGCTGATGAAGGAGCTCAGGGGTATATGGAGATCACAGAGTTTCAAAGGTGGAAACTCTGCAGTCAAACCCGCGAATGACAATCTGTGTGATTGGAATGTCAACCTCCTCAAAGTTGACCAGGACAGTGCTTTGCATAATGATCTCCAGATCCTCAGAGAAGGAAGAAGCCAACTTCATCCTACTTAAGGTCTCTTTTAAGGATAACTTTGCCCTTGACCCACCTTGGTCAGGACTGTTGCTCCAGTCCTCTCCAAGGGTATGTTCTGGGTGGAGGTGCCACCTGCATGGAACGTCCCACTAGAGCAGTGCCTACTCCATAGAGTCCGTGATCCTGCAGATCAGTGCCACGCTGGTGAAGGGGAAAGCACAAGTGCACTTTGGAGCCAATGAATCTCAGTACAGTCTGACAAGAGCACAGCAGTCTACAAGTCATTGGTGCAGATCCACAAAAAATACGGCTGGTACACACCCCCGAGAGGAAGATGGCTAACCCGGAGCGCCCCCTGCTCCTTGGCACCACTGGACCAACTAGTAAGCTTTGTTTTGTTTTGTTGTGTACCAGGGATTGAACTTGGGATCTTGTGCTTTCGAGGCAGGTGGGTAGAACCACTGAGCTAAATCCCAGCCTGGACCATTTACCTTTGAATGCTGTATTTGGATCCCTCACTGCCTCTGTGGTTCCCTCCCTCGTTTTTATTCTGGATGGGATAATTGCGTATTGCAGGACAATGATGGCCATTCTAAATGCTAAAGAAAAAAAAAAACCAACAACATACAAACTGTTTCAAGTACTCCAGACTGACTGCAGACCAACCACCGTACTGGAACACTTGCTAGCAGGTTTTTTTTTTTTTGGTACTAGGGATTGAATTCGGGGCCTTGCGCTTGCGAGGCAGGCGGTGGAAGTACTGAGCTACATCCCCGGCCCCATAGCAGGTATTCTTTAATGCTCCAGACTTAGAGCCTCCTTACCTATGCTATGGATTTTAATTTACTTTCTCCTATTTCACGTACACTGCTTTTTTTGGTTAGTGTATGATGGATGGGCATGAAAAAATGAATTGTTGGGAAAGCAATTAGTTTGTTAATTTGAAAAAAAAGGGAGGGGAGCAGGGCTGGGGATTTAGCTGAGTGGTGCCGCACCTGCCTTATAAGAACAAGGTCCTGAGTTTGAGCCCCATAGATGGGGGGGGGCACATGACAAAAGGAAAGCATTTATTCTCCTAAAAGTGTAAGTTTGCTTTTATGTTAGCTAATGAATAGATCTCTGTAACAGCACATTTTGCCAAAGAAACAACTAGGACAAACAAAGATTTTTTTCTTTCTGTTCTCTTTTACAGATATAAATGCAATTTGTGCTTGATATTGTAGTTTAGATCTAAAATATCTTCAAAGTTCCTTTTTAATTTTTAATTTTATTAGTACATGTTTGCAGTTCGTGCAGTTTACAGTCATCTCAGGGAGTGGTGACATGTACAGACCACATCTTGTTTCTTTTTTTTTTTTTTTGGTACCAGGGATCAAACTCAGAACCTTGGGCTTTCAAGGCAAGTGGCAGAACTACTGAGCTAAATCCCCGGCCCCCTTTTTTTTTTTTAAATCCCCTTTCCCTACCCTCCCTCCTCCTCCAATTCCCCTATCCCATTTTTCATTCTTGGTGATATTAATCTTAGCTCATGTTATGGCATATAATGTTTGCATTAATTGAGGTTATTAGGTTCCTGTACATGTATACTTTTCATTTTAGTGTTGTGATGTATTTACGTAAGAACCTGTTGTATAGCTTTTCCTGGTCTTGACTATATAAATTTAGTCTTGTTCTTTTTATTTCCTTTTTCATGTGATTTTTTTTTT